GTCTGCGGCCCTGCCGACCGGCTGTGCCCTCTGTTCCGGGACTCGGAATCCTAGCGCGCTTTGCGCGTGGGCCCCAGCAGAGCCTGCCGGTCCTGCCCCGTTAGCCCGGGGCGGAGGGCGCTGCTCAGCCCGTGGGTCATCTTCATCCTAACGGGTCTGAGCTAGGCTCTGCCCCGTCCTGGGCGCCAGGGCGCCGTCCACGCGAGTTCGCTGGAGCCAAGGCCCTGCCGCTTTCAGTAGGGCGGGGCGCGCGTGTGCGCGTGTTACACTCCCAGTGTGCCCAGGCTCGTGGGTCGTGCTCGTGCCGTTCCTGAAGAGTTGTGGAACCGACCTTATTGTGCAAAGTGGAAGCCGGCACTGGACACACTCTTTTCCTCGCTCGACACGTGTTTCTGGTGCTTAAAACGTGAGTAATGAGTGGATCCGGGGTTCGTTTTGCAGAATAAGACCGGTTTCAAGGAAATATGTAGAAACAAGTACAGTACTGAGTGTAACCTATAGTTACAGCTTATGTGAAGAAAATATTTGATAAAAAAGCTAGTTTGATGCTAAGAAGTGGGTATGTTCAGTATTTGTGTATGATTTTGTTGAGATTATTTGTCAGAACTTGTAATATATATATATATATATATTAAAGCAAAACATTTATTGCTACATTTTAGATATATAACGTGGTAACATCATGCAGAATGTGTGTATCTTTAAATGATATATCTTGGTTCTTTTTTTCCATTCCCCCTTCCCTTCTATCCTTCCCCTTTATAAACAAAAACTTTGTTTCCATTCTTTCCTTCTGTTTTCTTTTTCTTGTTTCTTTTTTCGTTTCCCCCTCCCTTGTTCTCCTTCTTGTTTGAACATTTTCTTTCCATTTCCCAGTATCTCATACATTTTATATAGCTATTTATTTTTTGTTTTATTTGACAGGTTCTTGCTATATAGTTCAGGCTGGCCTCAAACTCACTGTTTAGCCCAAGATGGCCTCGAACTCAACAATCCTCCTCCCTCAGCCTCCTGAGTAGGGGGATCATAGGTGTGCACCGCCACACCCAGCTGTCTTATACATTTTAGTCCTTATTTCCACTTTCAGTTTCTCACACCAAAAAACAAAGCAGTATTTAAATATGTCTGTCAGGTTTATTTCACTTCAAAGTATGTTCTCAAGACGCATCCATTTAGCTATACATGTCTGAAGCTCATCCTTCTTTATGTCAAAGTAGTATTCCATCGTATAAAAAACCCCACATCTTTATCTAAGCACCAGTTGATGGGTATTTGGGCTGTTTTCAAGATTTAGCTATTACAGAATGAGCCACTATAAACATGTGCATATATTGCTGTGTTGTGATGCTTTTAATTCTTTAGAGAAGAGATCAAGAAGAGGAGCAGCTGGGTGAAATGGAACCTCTAATACTAGTTTCTTGAGGAATCTCCACCCTGGTTTCCACAGTGGTTGCACCCCCACCAACAATACAGAAGGTTTCCTTTTTCCCCTTAACCCCACCAGCATTTGTTATGGGTTTGTTTCTTTTTCTTTTTTATTATTTCTTTTTATTTTTTGGTTTATTTCTTCACAGCAGTCTTTCTTCCTGGAGTGAAGTGGACTCAACATTGTTTTTTTTGTGTGTGTCTCTTGGATGATCAGTGATGTTGAACATTTTTTCATGTATTTGCTGTTTCTACTTCATCTGAGAAGTATTTTTTAATTTCAGATACCCATTTTTTAATTGGGTCTTGAAATTTTGGGTGTTTTTCTTTTTTTTTTTTTAGTTCTTTATATATTCTACATAGTAGTCCTTTGTCTGAGGAATACCTCATACATTCACTTAAGGAGAAAGTCTTAGGTTCCTCTGAGGAAGGATGGGAGAAAGATTCCATAAAAATTTTTGCTGTACCAGGTTCCTTTCCCAAGGGGACCTGGCCTCCCCTGTGTTCACTGAGTTCTGGGTCTGTCAACTTGCTCAAATCTCAGAACTGGCTGAGGGACCATGATTTCCTGTAACTACAATTTGAAGTAGGGTACTGTTCATTTGCCTTTAAATATTTTCATTTATATAAAATCAGTAAAACTTTTTTAGTTTTCCTGTATTTCAGTTTTGGGAACACCGTGGTTAATCAGCAAATGCCATAGGTCTACACGTGTCAGGACATTCTTACATTGTTCTGCTTCTGCTGTCTATTATGGTAAGTATATGCACTTTGCTTTTGGTGATCAAGTACTGCCCCTTGACCCCTGCCAACCCATTGCTCTTAAGTTTCCCAGTTGAGTAACCATGGTCCCCACTGTATGTTTTCTCTGGCATACAGAGAAGAACGATGGCAGGTCTCTTTAGAAATGCCAGTGCTCCCCTCACAAATCTGTTTCTTAAATTGTTGATGAAAGGAACATTTTCTGGGTCATCCCAGGGTGTCAAATTGGATCTGACGTGACAAATCCCCACCAGTATTCCCATTTCCATAAGCCTCTGAATCCCCCCCTCAACAGTAAGCTATGGAATATCAGACATTTCTAACTTATTCATAGTGGGCCATCTTTTGATCCATACTGTGCCAACGACCCAAATAAACTATTAACACCTTTTTTTACTCCATGATCTGTAACATTAAATTCAGAATCTATGCTTAACAGGCTCATATTGACGAATTTAGCCTGATCCAGGTGTATAATTTTGCCACTACTATATCATACCCATTAAATACATTCCAATATATTTTCAACAGGTTTCTCTTTATAAGAATTAGAATACTCTCAAGACCAGCCTGGGCTACATAGTGAGTTCTGGATGAGTCTCAACTACATAGTGAGACCCTGTCTCAAAAAAAAAAGAATTAGAATACTGAAGAAGTTCTTTGGTAAAGTAGTAGACCGCCTCATGGGTTACACTATGTGCCTCACCCTTAGGAGCCTTCTGTGATTTCAGCCTGGTTATAGGGCTAGAAACAAAAGTAAGTGGTGAGGGTGGGTCCTGAGGACTGTCCGCATTATCATACTTGGTCAATGCAGAATCAGTTTCCTCAGGAATTCTAGGAGAGGCCAACACCATGGGTGGGGGTGGGGATGCCTCCACCACTGTGGCTCAGGAAATCTCTTCCTTGGGCAAAATAATCTCAGTAGAGCTAGAAGCTCAAAATTCTCAGCCTTATCAGGATCCTGCCAAATATCTCCATCCCTGTTTATGAGTTCCTATTCTTTTCTGACCACTGCCCTCATCTTACCTTAGATACCTATCAAGGCTGAACATTATATATATGCTGTATTTCAGCTAATCACATTATGAGCTCTTGTGTTTGGGTTTCTGCAGTCTTGGTACTTGTAGCTAAAAGAGGAGATTTTCTTTCAGGACACACGTAGAAACTTTTATGTTCTTTATGTGTGTCTGGAGCTGGGAATTTGAATATTTGTGCCCTTATTTTCCTTTACTAATTTGTCCTGACAGAAGACTTTTAGATTTCCTATGGATGTTTTGACCCCATTGTTTTCCTTCACTAGTTTGTCCAGCGATTTGAAAAGAACCAGCAACAATCATTGTATTTCCCTCTCTGCCAAAATATTCAAAAGTTCCATATATAGAATTGCTAAATTCCTTATATCTCACAAGTGGTGAATTAGGATAACCAAATGAATGTGCAGTGAGTATTTAAACAGTTCTCACCAAGGGCTATCAGTATTCCCCACAGTATTAGGAGAGACTGTGGCATCTTTAGTTCTCGTCAATTTAGAGGATCAACTCCAGGAATCCCTAAACCATTAAAGAATTTCATCTTTACAACTGTGTTTCTCTAGAGCCATACCTTGTACCAAAATCTGTATCAGTCAGTACTTACTAGAGAAACCAATTTAATGTAGATATACAAATATATACAAATTAACAAGATTGGCTTACAGAGGCCACCCACAGAGTCAAGTATGGAAGAATGCAAAAGGTCTGTCTGCACGCTGGAAATCTGAAGGAAAGCATGGAGCTCAGTGTAGTGTTTCATGTGAGTCCCTGTCAGGAGGCTGAAGGGTCTGCAATGGAAAGTGAAGGATCTATGCTGAGGCTAAAAAGTCTGTGTTGGAAGCCAGGAGGTGACATCCAAGGTGCAGGCAAAGACTGGAGCTCCTGTGAAGAAACAGAGGCAAGCCTTCATTTCCCTTTCATACCATTTTGGTGACAATCTTCCCTAGGGTGAGTCTTTCACACCCAGAATTATGCTAAGCCAATATACTTGGTCACTTTTTACTCAAATGGACACAGTCAATTAGTTATCACATAGAGCTATTTAATCTTTGACAAAGGAACCAAGAACATACACTGAAAGAATGCTTCTTTAATAAATGGTGCTGGGATAATTAGATATTCACATGTTAAAGATTGAGTCTAGATCAATGTATCTCAGCATGTACTAAACTAAAAATTGATCAAAGGTCTAAATGTTAAAACAGGAACACTTAATCTACTGGAAAGTAAAACAGGTACAATCCTGAAAAGACATAGGTGTATGCAAATACTTTCTGAATTGAACCCCAGTGGCACAAGAAGTAATACTGAAATTTAAAAAAATGGAATCACACCAAATAAAAGAGATTCTGTGCAGCACAGGAAACAACCTGAATGAAGAGACAACCTACAGAATGGGAAATGTTTTTTTAGTATATGTGCTGCCGAAGTGAGCACAGGGAAATATTTTTTGATAGTTATTCCTTGAACAGAGAACTAACATCTGGTATAAAGCACTAATTAAAAAAATGAACTCTGCAAAATAAAAGACCCAATAAAAAAGTGAGGAAATAAATGTTTCTCAGAAGTGTGGATGTCCAATACGTATGTAAAAAGACATTCAACTTCACTGGTCATTAAGGAAATGCAAATTAAAACTATTTTGAGATTCCATCTTACCCCAAAAAGAATGGTTATCATTGAGGACTTCTGTGAAGATGGCAGAGTGCTGAGGTGCAGAAAAAGAGCCTCTACGATTTGGTGTCCTGACACTGGACTATAGTGACATGGGGAGTAGAAGAAGGAAAGTGGGTCCCAGAACCCAGGAAGGATCTGGGGCAAAAGTTGAAGTCCACAGGAAGAGTGAAGAGGGAGATAACAAGCGGTGCTGTCTCCCAGAGCCCTGATTCATGGCATGGGAAGGGCAGGTGTAGCCTGCAGATGAACAATGACTACTGGTGATCCCAGAGGCTCTAATGAGCACAGATACAAAAATCCTCAATAAGATACTAGCAAACAATGCATCAAATCATCAAGAATGTTATATAGAATGACCAAGTAAGATTTATTCCAGGGATACAGGGATAGTTTAACATACGCAAATCAATAAGTGTAATACTATTAACAGAGCCAAGAACAAAATCCATATGTTCATTACAATAGATGTAGAAAAAGCATTTGAAAAGATCCATTTATAAAAACCCTACCA